GCAAACAGCAGGTATGAACAGCCCTGTGGCAGCTCAAGGTACACAGCAGGTGATGAAACTCCTACTCAGTGTGGCACCCACACTGCTGGGCTCCTTCCCCTTGATGAGGCCATAGACAGCCTGCAGTGCTTCCTCTGGTGACTTGCCCTTGAAGCGCTTTCTGCAGAGCTCTACAAAGGTGATGGTGCGAGCACCCTTGGTCCTATGGTGGGGGTAAACCAAGAGGAAAGTTACATCACTACTGGGTGGCAGCCAGGCAGGAAGCCCCCATGGCTGCCCCTTGCATGAGAGCGTGCCTGGCTCTCGCCGTTCCCTCCTCCCGCCCAGCTGTGCTGCCCATTGTGCTTCCTTGCAACACTTGACTTCTTTGAATATGATGTCAACGTCAGTGCTGGTCACAGCTTTCCCGTCCGTCAGCCCACACTCTTTGCACATCTTGGAGAAGTTCTTCCCTGTCATCTCGTTGCCACTGGCAGATGTGTCACCATATACCGCAAATTTAGAGAAAGTTTTTTCTACCCCCGACATCTTGCTGCTGTGGAAGAAAGAAGTTTGCAGGGAAGGTGCTGAGGATCATCTGCAGCTGCTGGACACACTCATGTCCCAGGCACCTCATTTCCATCAAAAAAGATGGTGCGGAGGATTATCGGCAGCTGCTGGACACACTCATGTCCCAGGCACCTCATTTCCATCAAAAAAAGGGGCACCACCCACAGGTATCGCTCCACCATGGGACAACCATGATGACCACAGAAGCATTGACAAAGAACACCTGGGATTCAAGCAGGATGAGGGCAGGGGTGGGTTGCAAACCGAGGCAAGGCAATGAGTGGTGGAGGTAGGACTCTGGAGTGAATTAGTGACTGCAGTGCATGAAGGAACTAGACATCCAAAGGCCCATAACATCTTCCTGAGCAAGCTCAGAAAATATGAGATGGAGGAACAAGCAATGAGATGGGTTAAGAATTGGGTACTCTATAGAGACCAAAAAGTGGTGATCAATAGTGCCAAGTCCAGCTGGAGACCTGTAACTAGTGGAGTCCCCCAGGGATCAGTGCTGGGTCCAGTCGTGTTCAACATCTTCAATAACGATTCTGATGATGGTATAGAGTGTCCTCTCAGCAAGTTTGCTGATGACACGAAGCTGGGAGGTTTGACTGATAGACCTGAAGGCTGTGAGGCCATTCAGCGAGATTTGGACCAACTGGAAAGCTGGGAAAAGAGGTATCTAATGAGGTCCAACAAGAATAAGTGCACAGTCCTGCACCTGGGCAGGAGTAATAAAATGCACCAGTCCAGGTTACTGTCTGCTAGAGAGCAGTTCTGTGGAGAG